ATCAGTCCAGTGATTGGTAGCAGAGGTCGATGGATCGAAACGTTTTTTGTCTCACATATCTGCCTGCCTGCTAGACTGCCGTTGCACGTTCTGCTAGGGTGTATATCCCTAACACTCGGCCTTATTTTGTGAGAAACACGGTACCTGTAGAAGAAATGAAGCTATTTTTCTTTTTTCCCCACTGTCTGCCATAAAGTGATTAAAACCACCACCTAGGTTTGATCCTAAATGGTTCTTCCCAACTGCAATTCTATTCATATCTCCTGCTCTGGGTTTTGTAAAAATGTTGGTCTTTGAAGGTTCAGAAAAGGAAAGAGTTAAGAAGGCAAGGAATTCAAAGAGGAATGCATCCCTCTGATAGAGAGAAGAAAAACATGTTTCTGATTCCTTTGAATCTGAGATAACTGTACAAACACAGGTGCCCTGATAAATGAAAAAAGGAAAAGAAAAAGAAAGGGTACAAAACTTCTCAAATCCTTTACTGGTCTCGTGAAACAGATTTGCTCTGACCCTAATTGTGCCCCGGAGTGGTTCCCATGACACAGAGGTAACTGTTGCCCAGATTACAAAAAAAGAAAGATTTTGGACAACTAAGAATACAAATCAAGGAGGAAGCTAACAATGGCTACCCACCTGCCTTCCACTGAGGATCTCTATACTGCATGAGTTAAAAAGAGGGCTGTGAAAATATCTACAGACCCCTCACATCCCGGACATAAACGGTTTCAACTCCTCCTACCCACAAAACGATGCTATACTGCACTGCACACCAGAACAACTAGACACAAGGACAGTTTTTCCTCAAATGACATCACTCTGCTAAACAAATAATTCCCTCAACACTGTCAAACTATTTACTAAGTCTGCACTATTACTATTAATCCTCCCAGCCTTCCTTTCACCCATCCCCTCCCACTTGTGACTGTATGACTGTAACCTTGTTGCTTGTATCCTTACAATTTTTATTTGTTTCCTAGTATGATTTATTGCTTATTTGTACCCTAGGACTATTATTAAGTGATGTACCTTATGATTCTTGATGAATGTTTTTTATTTTTTATTTATGTACACTGAGAGCTTATGCACTGAAGACAAATTCCTTGTGTGTCCAATCACACTTGGCCAATAAAGAATTCTGTTCTGTTCTATTCTATTCTATTCTATTCTATTCTATTCTATTCTATTCTATTCTATTCTATTCTAATTTCTATTCTATTCTATTTTCTATTCTATCCTATCCTATCCTATCCTATATCTATTCCATTTAATTCTATTCTATTTTATTTTTTCATTCCACTATTATTCTATACTATTCTATTTTCTATTCTATTCTATATTTTGTCCTATCCTATTCAAAATCTATTCCATTTAATTCTATTCTATTCTATTATCTTATTTCTATCCTATCCTATCCTATCCTATCCTATCCTATCCGAAATCTATTCTATTCCATTCCATCCATTCCAACCACCAGATTGCAAAAACACCACAAGGGAGCGGTCGGACGAGGAGACCCGAACTCATTGGTAGCCTCACAATGCAACAAACAAGGACATCCATTCAATTTTGCAGCTACTAAGATTTATTTTTATTTATTTATTTGATTTGTCAATTGCTTACAAAATAATAGGTATAAGTATATACATAGTTATGAATACATGAAATGGGTACATATAAGAAAAATAAAAGAAATAGGACAGGGACGGTAGGCACGTTGGTGGACTTATGCACGCCCCCTACAGACCTCTTAGGAAAGGGGTGAGGTCAATAGTAGAAAGTCTAAGGTTAAAGTGTTTGGGGAAGAAACCACAGAGTCAGGTAGAGTATTCCAGACATTGACCACTCTGTGGCTGAAGTATATCCTCCAATCAAGTTTGGTGCAGTTAACCTTGAGTTTGTATCTATTGTTTGCTCTTGTGTTGTTATGGTTGAAGCTGAAGTATTCATTGACAGGTAAGTCATTGCAATGTATGATTTTATATACCATACTTAGATCAGATCGAAGACGGCGTAATTCAAGGTTGTCTAGGTCTAGAATTTCAAGTCTGGTGGCATAAGGTATGACTGATGAGCTGTATTGGAGTATTGGTCTAGCAAATGTTTTGTATGTTCTAGTTAGTAGTGTGATATTACCAGAGAAAAAGCTACGTAGGATTAGGTTAACAACTCTTAATGCCTTTTTGGCTATGTAGTTACAGTGGGCTCTAGCACTTAGATCATTAGAGATGAGTACTCCAAGGTCCTTGACAGAGTTTGGATCATCAACAAAATCTTGACTATTCAGCTTGTATTTTATTTTCTGATTTTTTTTGCCAACATGTAAGACAGAGCATTTATTTCTTGAGATTTGAAGTTGCCATTTGCTTGACCATTCTGATACATAGTCAAGATCTTTTTGAAGGGTAGCAGTATCGTCTGTGGTGTTGAATAGCTTTACATCATCAGCGAAAAGAATGCAGTTGCTCTTAATATGATCACAGAGGTCATTTATGTAGAGTATGAAGAGAGTTGGTCCAAGAACACTGCCTTGGGGGACACCACTATTGACAGATACAGAATTTGACAGGACACTCCCAATTTTGACCATTTGTTGTTTGTTTGACAGGAATGCTTCTATCCAGTTATGCAGTTGTCCAGAGATACCATAAGATTTTAGTTTTAGGAGTAGTTTGTCATGTACTACTGAATCAAAGGCTTTACAGAAGTCTATGTAGATTGCGTCAATTGCTTTGCCCTGATCGAGTTGTGTAGTCCATATGTTTTTGCAGTGTAAGAGTTGCAGATTACAGGATAGTTTTTTCCTGAAACCAAATCGTTTATTGGAGAGTAGGTTGTTTGTCTCTTTTAAGTGGAGGATGATGGATTGGTTAATAATTGATTCCATGACTTTGCAGGTGACGCAGCATAAAGAGATTGGTCTGTAATTTTCAACTAGGCTGGGGTCTCCCTTTTTGAAGATGGGGATGACCGTGGCCTGTGACCATAGGTGAGGCAAGGAGCTGGTCCTGAAAGATTTTTCAAAGATTATGCTTAGAGGTGTGGCTGTGGCAGTGGATAGCTTTTTTAAGAAATAGGCACATATTCCATCCGGTCCAATAGATAGAGATGGTTTTAGATTGCGTAGTGCTTTTTCAACATTGTCTTCTGTAAGATCGATATGTATTAGATCATTGTAGTTGTCTGTGGTTCGGCTAGGAAATACTGGGCATGATCCATTGCTGTTTACAAATACTGAGCTGAAGAATGTGTTAAAGATGTTGGCTTTAATGGTCTTGTCGTTGCAGTCTTTACCATTAGGTCCTATCAGGGGTGGGATGGACCTTGAGTCTTTTAGTTTGTTGTTTACAAAATTGTAGAAAGCGCGGGTGGAATTGGTGCGTAGAAGGTTTTCCTCTTGTTTAATGTAATAATTGGTGCATTCAGTCTTTATCTGGTGGCATAAATTTTTGTATCGGCTTTTGAAATTGGCAATGTGACCAGATTTGTTTTTCCGCCAGAGTGATCTCTTTTTGGATTGAAGTTTCCTTATTGTTATGGGTAATTTGTTTTTTTGTTTGTTTTGGGAGTTGTTGTTGGTACATATAAGATTGTTGGACGAGCAGGCAAAAAAGCAAACAAACAGCCAGGGAAATGGTTGAAGCTGGGAAACAGGCCCCTTGTCAATCCAACAGGAGAGTGCGGGTTATTAGCTATTTTGGAGACAAGGGTTTGGCAGCACAAAGAAACAACAGCCAATGACTTATTTTTGTGTTTCCACGAAAATAAGATTGTGTCTCATATTAACTTTTGCTCCAAAAGACGCATTAGGGCTTATTTTCTGGTTAGGTCTTATTTTTGGAGAAATACGGTACTAAATGCCTCTATCTGGCTGACAATCTTAACTGGGGCTTATTTTCAGGGTAGGGTTTATATTACGAGCAGTCTGAAAAAAAATCATGCTAGGGCTTATTTTCCGCTTGGGTCTTATATTTTTTTTGAGGAAACACGGTACACAGCCATCAACACCTCAAATCAACAACTAAAAAGCCACACACAGCAGGCACTATATAAATACCACACACACAAAAGCCCCAAAGCACACACACACACACTGCTAGAGAGAAGTTCTCGGAAAATGGGCTCCAAAGCTCGGAAGACAAAACTTCTAGTCCTGGTGACCGATCCAGATTGGATCCTGCAATACGAATCCAATCTTCTACAAAATCACACAACTTAACCCTGCCACACCCCTCAGTGGAAGTCAGTTAAAGAGGAAAACGAGAATTGCGGGGGGGGGACGGAGGGGAAGCGACTGGTTATTCATAAAGTGGAAAAACTCACACAACTGGTCGGAAGAGATGTTGTGCGGAACCAGGACAAAGTCATCGGTGTCGCAGGAGGAATTCTTGCTACTGGTGCTGGCAGAATCTTTGGACACCTGAAGGTAATTCGGAGGCCCCAAGGGAGGAGAAGACAGGTTGTCTTCTTGGATGTGCTGCATATCTGGAAGGGACTGGAGAGAAGATGGATGCAGTCAGAGGCAACAAGTTTGCAAAGACAGATGGGGAAATTGATTGATTGATTGATTGATTGATTGAATTTATACTGCCGCCTATTCGCCCATGGCGACTTGAGGCGGCTTACAGAATCTAAAACCATATTTAAAATAAAAAACAATAAAAAGTAACAAAAATGATCAAATAAATAAAGTACAATAGAACAAAATCTGGGGAAAAAAATAAATACACCCCCCCCCCAATTCCCACCCCATCCTGCCCCGACGACAGCAGATCACACGAGCCATTTGATGGGCTCCATCCCACTCTGGATTCCCCAGGCCCGCTGGCAGAACCAGGCCTTCAGTGCCTTCTGGAAGAGTATTAGAGAGGGGGCCATTCTAATCTCTAGGGCAAGGGTCTTCCAACTTGGCAAGTTTAAGACTTGTGGACCTCAACTCCCAGAATTCCTGAGCTAACATGACTGGAGGAGGAATTCTGGGAGTTGAACGCCACAAGTCTTCAAGCTGTCAAGTTTGAAGAACCCTGCTCTAGGGGAATGATGTTCCAGAGAGAGGGAGCCACCACGGAGAAGGCCCTTCTTCCGGGTCCCATCAAGTATATCTCCCTCGGGGCAACATTCCCTGCCTTCCCGCTCTGGGATTCCACCTCTTATCTCTCTATAGCAGAAGGGCTGGCAGCTTGAAAGACCTGTGGACTTCAACTCCCAGAATTCCCCAGCCAGCTTGTTTGAGACTTCAGAAAAAGTGCAGAGAAGAGCAACTGAGGGGATTCAAGGCCTGGAGGCTAAAACGTATGAAGAACGGCTGCAGGAATTGTGTATGTCTGGCTTAATGAAAAGAAGGGCAAACCTCCTGACTTTATGATCCTAAAGAAAACCTTGGAATGTGCAGAAATGGACGGGTTATCAATGGAACTCAGAAACAAAGAGGAGTCAGAATACTATGAGATTTGGAACTTATGGTATAGGTGGCTGGAAGATAGACAAGAAATACGGTACATAAAAAGTCAAATAGAAGGATACAATAGAAATTGGTCAATATTACATGTAAATTTATTTGTGATAATTAGGATTAAATTTTGCATTATATCCAAATAAGCAAATGATCATTTGATACAATGAGAGAGCTGTCAATTAGAATGAACGCTCTATTGGCTCACGTTGCGACAAATGGAATGTTTTGATTTTATTGTATGTGTATACATTTATTTAATAAAGTATTTTTATAAATAAAGAAAAAAGAAAAGAAGGACTGGGTGGGGGGGGGGGACGACATGATAGCAATCTTCCAGTATTTGAGGGGCTGCCAGAAAGAAAGAAAAAAAAAATGGATGGAAACTTAATTGCAACCTGGAATTGAGGAGAAATTTTCTAACAGTGAGGACAACAA